CGCGGAATACGCGTTCCGCCAAAATGTTTGTAGTGGGACTGCGCAAAGAGCAAGTGCGGGTTTGAGATATCAATGTAGGAGAACTTGGAATGCTGGCTCTCCACTGGAAACCTTCATTTGCAAATAAGCGTTATATATTAGCTACATTTTTCCGATGTTTTGGTACCGTTATAAAAAATAAGTCACAAAAGTCCCACATAGTCTTAAACTTTGCAGCTTTCAACCTTAAACAAAAAATATAATACAAAGCTTACGTTGTAAAAAGGAGTATTCGGAAGCGGGCAAAAAAATAGAATTACAGTAGGGAGAATTAGCAAGCCCGACGACCGATTTGTTTCAGAATTGCATGTTCTACTTTGTACGCATAAAAATAAAAGCATTATATTCGTTAAAAACTTTTTAAAGATATACTTCTCCATAAACAGGTGGATGAGCACAGAAATACCAGTGAGCAACAGACATTAGGCTTAAGTATTTGTTAATCATTTCTCTTTTACAGGACTTTGATCATCGGATTTGCTAGTGAGCTGTTGAGCACATTTCTCTGAAATTGTCATAGCTTCGTTCATAGAGAAGCTAGTGACCGGAAACACTCATATGCCCCCCCCCTTCGACGGGACACGGGAATGGGAACACCCTTCTGTAATAAGGGTAGACTTACACTACCTCCCGGGAAGGATAAATATTTCCATGTCCTTACGCGAACATTAACTCTAAGTCAGGCCTGAATTGCTACCGTAATCTTAACCCCAATTGTCCTGGACTGTAATGCAAAACCACCTGTACTGCAAGCGGTTCCAATTCTCATGTCTTGCAGGAGGGGAGAGAAGGGAGAGGGTGGTTGGGGGAGGCATAGAAGCGACACCTACCGGGTTTGTTTCAAATAAGGGCAAACTTTTATGAGCTTTTCCTGCTGCTGTATTTTTTAAAGTAATAAGAATACTGAAAACAGAACCAAATTCTCTGGTTTGCATGAAAGAAGCAAAGCTCCTCAAAGGAATAGTGACGTTGACAGCATACTCTTCAAGACGGATCAGTCCACTTTTGTTAGAGCAAGATTGTACCCAGTATGCATTTCCAAGTATTTGAGCAACTTCAGAATCGTTTATATATGCAGTTCCCGCCAAAAAATACCTTCAAATAACAGTATTTGGGAAGTTATCCTGGTTGCATTTGGTCGCGCATTATTCAGTTAGGAGACCTGAAAAAATCTTTCTTACGAAATTATTTCCAGCTTTTTTGAATTGTTTCTTTCTCTCAGTACATACCTAACTTACTATAAAAAATATATAATATGCAATCACAGAAGAGTCGATTTTCACTGTAAGACAATAAAATATCTGGAAATATGCAAGCTGTATCCTATAAATATACGATTTAAGTGGAATTCCATCATAGCGCCGTTAGAAATCAAAAAGAGGTACGGCTTCTTTAAAACTTTCTCTCAGACAGAAATAAGGCACGCAATCGTGAGCGTTACATACGATGGGAGTACTGGGTTTTGATAATAGCCATGAAACTAGTCAAAAATGTGACTGTCTGAGAGAACTTTGCCCAAGCGTTTGGAGGTATAGGTGTAAGGCGAAGCAAAAGCAGGCAAATTAAAATACCTTCAGTGGGCGCCCAGAGAAAGTGACAATCAGCGCGACTTCATTAACCGGTGCATGCAAAAACGAGGAGACTGACTGAGTTGCACAAACACTTATTTTTCCGAAAATAAAATTTTCCATAAATGAAGAAAGTATCAGACGTAAGTAGCCACCTTATTGCGATACTCGGAGGTTAAATTGCATACCGACTAAGAGCAGCTATCAGACGTCAGAAAACGAGGCCGAAAAAATAGATTCAGCGGTAGGAGAGACCTGGAGGTACTAAACGCATCCGGTATAATTGAGGGAAAAGTTATTAGGTTATGGAAGGAGGAAGATTAGTATGGACATCAATGTTGGATCGTGTACGAGCAGTGAGAACAGATAGTTTGACTCACTAGAAAAAAACACAGCTACATCTTTGAATTCGAGGGGTAGCATCACTATGAGTCCCTGGCTGCTTGGGCCACGATTCTTAGCCCGCAATCCTTCAAGAGGCAAAAAGATCTCACTGCTCCACACCGGCTGTCAGGACTCTGCGTAGGCCAAATAATGAATCGCGCGGGAGTCGCAGACTGAAGTGACAAATGAATCCGACAAATTACAGGCTCCTGTGAATTTGCTATATCTAATAGTTTTTCTCTCCAATATCAAATTCAGTTGTGAACCAGACACGCCCGACAAGCAAAATTATAGGGCCCAGCAATTTATGTCTTTCTCAAGCGTTTCTTTTGAAATTTTCACGGAAGCTATGGAATGGGTTTTCCAGTAGAGGCAAAAAAATGCTTAAGTAGATTTGCAAAATTATTCGTCTGCAGCACAACCCCCAAATACTGCAATCACTTCAGGGCGCCGGTTCTCCAGTAAGCTTCTTTTCAGTCACCCGTGGAACTTCAATCTGTTAAAAAAAAGACTTAAGACGTTCAAATTTTTCCAGAGTGATTTTCGATAACCCTATACTTTCAAATATATTTTAAAGAAAACGTGCATAACAATACCCATGCTTATACTCCCTCAATATAAAATTAAGTCTACTTTTACTTCTTTACTTCAAGTACGGATAATTGTAGGTTTAAAAAGGGTCTATTTAAGGTTGTAAAATTTCCATTTCTAAAGCATCATATCTACTCACTGATTAATTTTGCTTGTAAAGCATAAAACAGTATCCAAATTCATTCCAAAATTTTATGAGCATATATAAATGTATGATTTTCCCTACACAGAAAATATGCAGCTTGAAGTCTGGAAATCTTGAATGAAAGCGTAATAGCAGATGGAGTGCAAAATTATTCGAGAATCGAAAAAAGGAATTTCCACAACCGAAAGATATCCGTTGTCTAAGTATAGGATTGTAAGAAGTCATTTGCTAAAAAATGAGTAAAAGCAAAAAATATGTCATTGTTTTCTTTTCTTCAGAGCATATTTTAATTCATAAGGGCACCAAAAATAAACGAGGAGAATTTATGCTACGTTATTGCTCACTTTCTACCGACTGCGGATTTTCAAGGCGACCGAAAAAAATTGCACTCACAAGTAGGTCTTCTGATGCGACTGAAATAATTTGGGCTTATGCTATATACTTATTAATGTTACAATCCCCAGCTTAAATGATTGTTTGAAGCAAAAACACAGTTCAGAATGTTGTTTAACATTTCATGCGATAGCATATCTACTGTAATTCACCCTTTCACCTGCACTGATAACTAGCATGCTTGCTCTAGGAAAAGTAGATGCGTCGGTGCAGAGAGAAGATCATTTTAGCAAAGGATAATCAAGTGCAGCCAACCGCATGCATGCAAGTATTAAGAGTGCCAATTGAGGCTGCTTTTTTTCCAGAACAGCAGACTGACTGTCTAAACCTATGTGTCCCATCCTTTGAAATGCAAATCAAAGACTATGCCGCCATTAGAGATCCCTGCAGTGCTACAGGCGGAATTCTCAGCAAGATTTAGGTGAACAAGAAATCTAGAGGGAAACTTTTTCCGATGTTTTAAAATGCAGTGCCTACAAACTTCCCTACGAAAAATTTGGGTTCAGGAATTGGTTTCCATAGAAAAGGGAATCACCACCTTCATGTGTTACTCGACACTTACTGACGACAAATTGAAAGTTCTCATATTGTATATTACTAAGACGAAAGGCATGACAGATACCGGAGACGTTGCCCTTCCGGAAAGTCACAGAGTCCTTATTCGATAACCAGAATGCTGGATGAACGTCAGGTGTGGTCATATGGGCCACCCAAAGGCAGCAAAGAAGAGTCTAACTTCGGTATGACTACGACCCAAACGAATAGCAGCCAGTCGTTGATGTCAGCAGTTTGCTGTCTTTTTTTCTCGAATAGTGAACCCGACAGCTAATGGGGATCGGACGGAACGTGGTACTGCGTTATAAACAAAATATTTTTTTTATGTAAGTTGGAGTTTTGTTGTTTTTTTGCAAGTACTAAACTCATTTTATTCCAAACAGTATGAACAAAGGCCGAGTAGGCATTTACGAAACACCCAGTTTTAGGAAGAACGCCCATAGGACCAGTAGTAACTGAATTTCATAAACACCTTGTGCGAAACAAAACTAGGATGAGAACTCCTCATGCCACAATATGAAATTTGTAAATCAGACAATTTTAAAAATATCCTGAAAATAGCATTTTTATGGTCTACGAAAAGCAAAGCTTCGCTTAAAATCGTCAACATGTCGGTCGTTAATGTATTAGAGGCAGGTATGGGCTCAAGTATTCTAAATGCTAATTTACTGGTTCAGCCTTTTGGAGAGATATCTATTCATGGTCTCATATCCACATAAATCTACATCCTATGGCCTTCCAAAAATTGCGGTGATAGGAAGGTGTCGAAGCAATCGAATATTTGCTCTCTTCTTCCCGTGTGGGTGTGAAAATAAAATGGAAAGTTACGCAGACACGAGGATATTGGGTGCCTTTTTTGAAAACTATTATGTTTAGAGTTGCTTATGGCATTAACTTAACATTGCTTTAGAGAATATCGGCGGTAGATCGCTAAGGTAAGACCGGAGGGAAACATTGCAAAAGTTAGTAACGATTGTTCATTGACGGTACTCGCCCGGCTGCAGCTGGCGTGTAGGATGAATTGTTTTAAAACTGCAAAGGGGGATATCGATTTGATTTTGCAAGGAAGAAAAGCCTCAGAGAACGATAAAAGGGCTGCATGACGGCCATACAATTTCGAACCCTCAAATAATGTACAAAAAGTCATTTCTGGCACATCAGGAATAATGACAACTATGCACAGCGGCCCTCAGTTATTTCTTCAATCCAACCTGCCAGAGCAGGAGGCCAGAATAACTTGTTTTCTAGGCTGCGATACTTCACCTAGGGGTTTTATCGACCAGTCGGCAATCACCACAGTAATATCTGATCCTCCCGGAACCCACCTTTTCAGCCTGTGCTGACTTGTTTTCGGCAGCGTCAAGTTTTGCCTGGAAGGAGGCCTCCTTGGCAAGTAGCACCTTCTCCAATTCCGCCCTGCAGGCTGCCTCCTGTCTCCATCGGCCTTCCACGGTCATCCTGGCAGTCCTTGAATCCGCCAGTTTTTCCTCGTAAAGAGACTTCAGTTCCTCAATCGACCTCTTCAGTTGTACGTTCTAATCAATGGTATTAGGCGTAAGGGGGGGCAATAGAAGAGCAGTGGTCAGGGTCGATTAACTTATGAAAAATGTTTCCCTAAGTACGTAAATACCAAAACCCCATAATTTGCACAGGGTAATCGTCACACAACGAAAAATGAAAATTCAACCAACTGAGTGTTGGGTATACACAATTAAACCTAGGGTTAAGTCCTGATTTGCGGTAAATGAATAGTCCGGAGAAGACGATTCAGACAGAAAAAATTGTGGTCAGGTGTTTGGGTATTCTGCACAGAACTTTCAGGTTTTGCAACAATTACCTAAATATCAGCTGATCTGGCCCTTCAGTAGACGCTCCTATGCGAACGGAGAGAAAAAGGCTGCTTTGAAGTAAACTGCACTGATGCTTCCAAAAAATAATTAAGGGAAAAAATGGCAAATATTCAAACTGGCGCCTAACTTAACGGGGCAGTTTGTTGCAAAAAAAACAGACATTGGCGTTTACCAAAAGGGTTTCACTTTTAACATCCATATTTGTTTGCCACTTTTGAGGCATGTCTAACGTATAAAACATAAAAGTAAAGGAACCTGTAACAACACTGGAAACTGCATTTTCCGCAAAAGAACCCCTTTTTACACTTTGTAAACATGGGCGCTTCCAAAACGTTTCTTAACATGCCTGGCTACGCACCTGCAATTCTTACCAAATTTTCTCCATAAGCAGTGGACGATTTTTGTTCTCACTGAAATATATATGATTTTCCGTAGCGCCAAGAACAAAGTCGGCCGCTTTCAAATAAGTCCAAACGTGGTTGTTCATGGAAAGCTAAATTTGGCCAAACTATTCGCACATCAAAAACCTGCCTCATCAACCGCAATGTGGCTGTGGCCGCATGTATCGGTATTTGCGCATCTTATCGCCCTCATAATCCAGCAGCACCACTGATCTCGGTAGCGCAGCTTCGAAACTGCATTGCATCTTCATTCTCAAGAAAGTAAAGCTTAATTTCACATTCATATGTAAAACAACACTCAACCACGACGAGAAAATGAATGCAGACAAATGACGCATGGATTCTCGATGCCCCGAAACATGATATGCGGCATATTCACAGAACCACTCAGGTAAAAAGAGACCACAACCGCACTAATTAAATTATATTTAAAACTTAAGCGCTTTCTCAAAGTATCTTTTAAGCGCGACATCCATACTTTAGTGGTTGCTGACAAGATACGGGCTTAACTGTATGCACCGACGGCACCTTGTATGAGTGCATATGCAAATAAGTTTGCGTGGGAGTACAAGCTCGCTACGAGTGGACGTTCCAGACCCTTCCGCCGACAGAAGACGGTTGGTACTCTGGAATCTTTTAGGTCTCCTACGAGTAACAAAGTTTTAGCGGAGGTGTACTTTTTTGAAGCAGCTCACGATGTCTACAGTGGAAAAACATGTGAATTGCGTAGTCACTGTTAGTACTCCCGATCTAAACCAGCAAGACAACGAGCCCTTTGCTCAATGGTCAGAACGTTGGAATCCTGCTGGCGGGCCTCGACAAAGACCCAATGCGTTCCATTATGCGTTATGCAGATGACATATTTGAAATCTTCAAAATAAATCATTTAGATTTGCTGGACACAAATCTTAAATGTACCTTTCAAGGAATTTAATTCACATTTTAAATGGAATTAGCTGGACAACTTGCATTTCTGGATGTCCTTGTACATTGAGGAACCGATGGATGACTCCATACATCGGTTTATCGCACAGAAACAGATTCTGATAGTGACCATCTATTCTCTCACAAGAGGATTTCCGTCTACAGTCAAGCCGAAACACACTTCCCTGATGAAACAAGCTATCAGGAGGAGATTAAATATCTCTTAAACTATTCTTCAAAAAGCGTATCCACGTGACTTTGTGCGTCAATACCGAAAACGGCAAGGGTATAGACAGAAAAGTGTTTCCAGCGATACGGCCACCCAGGTATAAAAAAAAACACCTGGCAACTTCTCTCATACGTGAAAAATGTATGTGAGTTTTTCGAAAGCCAACTGCACCCCATCCACTTCCAATCGTCCTGAAATTGTCTCGCTAGCAAAGACGGTGGTCGATACAGCAAGAAACAGTGAGGTAAATGAAGAGCGAGTCCACCTCATTTTAAACAAACTCACTGATGAGCCTACCTCCGATTGAGGCGAAACAGTGGCAGAGTTTGTCGTCCACAACGGCCGAACGTCAGTGTAGTTTCACACGCTCCAAACATAGGTGTTAGAAAAAAAGCGAGAAAAGCGCGTCGCCCAAATTTATGGTTGAATGACGCAATTCCTAGATGTATAGCTGTCCATTTTGTCTTCAAAAGTACTGCACGTGATTGCTGGCGCTTACCCTAACTTTTCACGCAAAGTTCGCACACATATTTCCGCGTAAGTGTACTCCTAAAGATCAATATCGGAGTACGCATCGAAGAGCACGAGAGAGACACACACTGAGAGGTCAAGACCCTCACAGTAGCGTCAGCAGCTGTAAAAGACCAAAGAAACACGTAACTAGGCTTTAAGCTAGAACTTATTTCAGAAGCCTGGGCCGAGTATTGATCATGTGCGAATTATCTACGTGCTATTTTTGTGAGCACTATGGATTTGAAGCAATTATGTTCAAACAATTGTGTGGAACATACGGTGGACCTGAAATGTTTTACACTGTGTGCTTAACTCGAAATCCGCAGAGCAATTTCTGGCAAAATTGTCAACTCCACATACGAAATAGAGCCCTTGCCCGACGGAACTCGCTGCAACAGCAATCATCATGGTCGAGTAAAACATATTTTGTGGAAATACCCTGAAAAAGCTTTAGCGTTGGTAAACTAAGGGACTAAAATAGCGGATGCAGAACATCAGGCCATACCGTTGCTAGAATCATACATTTTACGACCTAAATTAAATAAATTATAGCTTCATTTTTACTCTGAGAGGCAAAATATTTGTATTTCTGAGCCGGAAAATGCAAAAGTGGATTTTTTAATGGAAACGTCTCATGACTGTCAACAGAGGTAGGTGGAGGGAGTCCACATCCCCAGCGTGCCGTTGAATAAACTAAAATGTGCGTTGCTGGCATGCGAACAAATTTCATGGGTTCTATTATTAGCAATCCCATTTCGTGAACAGTGTTCAACTTTGACACCCCAGTTAAAGGTCGTTTCGGTTTCCATGCCCTTAAAATAAGTTAATTTCCACAATTGTAAACTGCATTGCTATTTGTAGTTTATGCATTACGCGCGGTACAAAAAACCACTGCGATTGTGCAGTTGTCAACCAAAAACTAGGGAACCACTTCGATGACAAGCAGAGTGCAAGTCTATTTTCTAGAAAGTACAACCGCAAATGGCAAACCTAAAACTCCAAGTGGTAGACAAACTTGGGAAAAACTTAAGGGCTTTTGAAAAAGGGACTGAAAAACTCCTGATAAGAAAATCACCTCATTTTCTGCTGCTTCCACACCTTTCTGCAGTTCTGAGTATGCCACCTGCGATTCAGCCAACTGGCGCGAGACAAGTTCCCGGTTTTCTTCGGAGGCTCTCAGTTGTTCCTGAAGGTCGCCAGACTCCTGCTGTGCGTCCCTCACTTGCTGCTGAAGTCCCGTGATCCGATCATGAACGGCAGCCTTAAAAAGAAAATCGTGAATTAGGCCTGTTCTGTAAATAATGAGTAACGGGCCAGTAACAGTCAGGGAAAACTAGTACGCTTCTACATTTTTCTTCCATCAGACGCAGTAAGTAATTTCTGTTTACCAGCAGAATTTTATAGTCTTGAATTCTATCCTAAGGAGTTCACTCGCCAAATGATGATTTTTAAGACTAGGCTGGGAGAAGATAGTCTTCATAAACCAAAGAGGAAAACAAGGATGTTTCAGCTACAAGCAGATGAGACTGCATGTTGCGGACCCAGCGACAAACAACCACTAAGCTCTGATAGAGAGACGTTTAACGAACGGTTTGTATATAAATACATATATCAATACATGCTTTGGCGGTCACTGTCAAGACTTCCCAACTACCCCTCAGCGGCTGGTACCAGAAAGTACACGAAAGACCGGAATTACCACTTCTGAATTATTAGCAGCCGACGACCAGCCTCAATCAAACACACATTATCGCCGCACCCAACTCTCAAAGACACGTTCGTTGGCTATCGAGCGTTATTCTGTGAAAAGCTCTATCAACTGAGTCACGGGCTGGTTCTTTTGGCAGCTGCTGTCAGGAATCATAATGAAGTGTGGTCACCGATCGGGTAGCGAAGTATGATCAACATACTGGGGAAGTGAACCACAAATCAATTCTTTGGGAAAATCAACAAACTTTAATTCTTATATTGTCGACGCTGGTTTTTCAGGTTTTCATCACATGCGTGGTTAGCATGAAATTAAAAAAATAATCTGCTTGAATAATTAATGATGATTATGTCCTTCTTGACAATAAACCATTACTATAGGTCGGGATGACGTTCGGATTGACTGCCGCCTTTCCATTATTTCCTTTAGGTTATTGCGCACGATGTCTAATTCGATGCGCACGAGTGATCGACCTATATCAGCTTGACAACAACCAAAGACACGGGTTTTAATCCAAAACAAATCTATGTCCACTTTTCGGCATACACATGGCGACATGGGACCTCGCTTATTTACTGCGAATTGTTGTCGTGTATGTGTAGAGTTGGTGATTTCCCAGCTTAAAAAGAACACACAGCATTGCAAGTGTCGCATGAAATTACGTGGAGGATATACCAGTTAAGCACGTGGTGTAGACGCTGGTATGTAAGTAACTTGCATTTTGTGCTAGCTCAGGTGTCTTTTAACGAGTTCGGACACCTTGCCAGTTTTTTTGTCTTGGGCGCCTGGCTGGAACAAACAAATCCTTTGTCTCTTGCTTTTGACTTATGTTGACTCATCATGCATTGATATAGAAAATTCCTAGGGTACCCGTTTTCGGAAAAGAGTTTAATAAACAATAAAATTCTATTCGATAACTTTTGCCGTCAAAGAAGTGTATTTTGATTCAATCAGGTATGTTGTTGGCAACTCTCTTGGAAAATATAATAAATTCTGCATAGGTTTACTTGGAGTAAACCGATGTTTAAAATGTCCAACCAGTCTTCCATTGTATGAAGACATAAAGAAAGAAAATTGTTCTCAATTTATTTTTCGAACTTGAATGTGATCCCGGGCAGTGTTGAGTGAATAAACCCGTGTAGCATTTCCTGCTGACCCATCTAGATGAAAACAAAGACACCGTCCACATAGCCCGTCGGTGGTTTGGGATTAGTTAATTATAGAAGATTCTGTAGACACCAAAACATCCTTTCGAGTAATTGCTCGGGCACGAATAACGCGTACCTTGCGCTACCTGGAGGCAGCCTGTATACGACGGTCAAAACCCGGCCTATGTAAACAGTTGGAGCATGTTGTGAACCTTGCTTTGCCCTGGTAACATCCGGCACCCTGATTCACACCTCCCCATGCCCGCATTTTTGCTTTAACGTTTTTTCCCCTATCTCACTGTCAACAGTGTTTCACTTGCTTACGTTACTAATTAGACTAATTAGCCCAATTTACTAATTGACCTTCCTGACCTGTTTCTATGACCTCTTCTATATGAATTCAATTGTTGTATTCTCTCATTCGTCACTCACTTTATGCAGCGAGAGGACGAAGCTGATGAGCACTCGCGAAATTTATAGTTCCAATAGATTCTGCTGTATACGCAACCTTAAAATTATAGACGAACCATAGTCTTCAGTTCTAGCATTGTGACTTCAATATGAAAACCGGTTCTAGTTTCCTCTAACTGGTTGCAGGCATAGATGAAAGGGTTGAGGCAAAGAAATCACGGCTTGCGTCAAATTTGCAGGCTCATCTGGTCATCCAAAAACGAATATCTTGATGAAGGCTTGCGAGGAACATATTTTTAATCTAAGGAAGAATCCTATCTAATAAATTTTATGAATGTTTACGTCCCTTTTCCTTTCCAGAACATAAAGCCACTTCTCTCAATCATGCACTTCCCCAGCAGATACTTATACTTTTTCTTCCCCGAAGGAAAAAGCTTCCTTTTCGTTGAATTCTAAACCCATTTCAACGCAGGTAAATACGCTATACGGTTGGCAATTAAATAATAAACGCTTCTCAAA